TGCCACAAAACAGTTAGGAATTTAAAGAGGAGTCAGGCAGGGATGTGTTCTATGACCACAATCGTTTAATGTTTACTCGTAACCTATATTTCAGAATGCGCTTTGGATAAGAACTAACGATATAAAAATTGGAAAAATAATTAATAACATAACATTTGGAAACGATACTGCAACTATGGCAGAAAATATAAAAAGACCTACTAGTGCCTTTACAAATAATGACAAATGAAAGAAAAAAATGGGACCGAAAGTGAATATAAATAAAATCAAATATATAATGATCTCAAAAACCCCTATCGACGACATACAACAGACACTGGAAGTTAAACAGTTAGATAGGGTCGATAAATATAAATACCTAATCATGCATACATGCCTGCGACGTGATATCCAATCAGTGGCGTCTACAGTCACTAATTAAATTTTTAAAGTAATAAACTTCTTGCTTGTAAACCAAGTAACATAAATGTGTTATATCATCATTATTATCGAACATGTTGTGTAGTGCCTTTTTTGTAGTCGCCTGGTTCATTCTTTCTACCCTTATAATATATTTATTATATTCTCCGGTTTAATTTGCTATGTCCCATGTTAGGATTCGATTAATTGTTTATTTTGTATCCAGTTAGAGACTTTATTTAAGTCAATAAATCAAAATTTGTCTTAAAGTTAATCTATTTCATCCATAGTGCACTATGAAATCTCGTATGTGGCTATACGTTTATTAATAATCAAGATACTGTATAGTGCATTTTTTGTAGTCGCGATTTTTTTATCATAATATATTTTATATATCCTCCCCTTTCATTTAACGTATCATATGCTTTACGATATGATATAATGCCCTTTTGGCAATATTGCGACGTATTTGCTATTCACTCTCATTTCCAATAATACATTATACGTCACGATCCTATTAACTATTTTAACCTTACCACAAAACGCTCAAAATATAAAAATCTTACAGTACCTAAACTCTATTTTTAGCAATTTTTCTAAAAAAAATAATTAAAATGAATTAAATAATAATAAGATATATATTAGAGAATAAATAAGATAAAATATTAAAATTTCCGTGTAAAAGGTATTTAAATCATTAATTTCTGAACTGAATTACCAATAGCCAGTTGGTAGTTTGGATTTCTTTTCTAGGTGGCGTAGTTACCCTACCGGACAAACAGTGTGCCTTGTCGTCTTAGCCTTTTATATAGATAAATAAGACACAGAAAGGAAGATAAAAGTCAGAATAGAAATGACCAATGTTCATAAATAAGAAATTAAATCTTGACGACCCTTGGTCAATTAACAACCAATATAACTGGTCACAAATTTGAATAGTCGGTGTTAACACTCAAAGAAGATGAAAGTAAGGATTGAGAAGGCAAGATCAGTATTCATCAAATTAAAAAGATTTTAAATAGTCACGATCTACAACTTCCAATTAAGGTTCTTTTTGCTGAGATGTTACATTTTCCTCGCTTTTTGTACGGAGTAGAATCGTGGACATTATCCGAGAAGATTATTTACTAGAAGAATTGAAATGTGATGCTTCAGACACCTACCGGGAATGTCTTAGATGGACAAAGATACTAATAATGAGGTCTTGCAAATAATAAGAAAGGACCATGAACTAAGCATCTTCTTCTTCTTATCTTGGTGTCTGTCCTCTGTAGATGTTTGCAATCACGTTTTGACAGCTGCTCTAAATAGATGTATGGTAGTCATTGCTGCCCACTGTCTGATGTTCTTCAACCACGATGTCCTTCTGCGCCCTTGAGACCTTTTGCCTTCTATCTTGCCTTGTAAAATTAGTCGAATTAGTTAATTTTTCTCATTGCGTATCACATGCCCCAAGTATGTCATCTTTCTGATTTTCATGATACGCATAATTTCCAGATCTTTATTCGTACGTTGGATCACGGTGTTATTTGTAACATGATGGATATAGGAAATTCTGAGCATGCGGCGGTAGCACCACATTTCGAAGGCTTCTAACCGTTTGGATGTTGCCTCCGTCAAGGTCCAGGCTTTAGCGGCTTTATTTAAGTCAATAAATCAAAATTTGTCTTAAAGTTAATCTATTTCATCCATAGTGCACTTTGAAATCTCGTATGTGGCTATACGTTCATTAATAATCAAGATATTGTGTAGTGCATTTTTTGTAGTCGCTTTTTTTTATCATAATATATTTTATATATCCTCCCCTTTCATTTAACCTATCACATGCTTTAAGATATGATATAATGCCCTTTTGGCAATGCCGCGACATATTTGCTATTAACTCTCGTTTCAAATGATACATCATACGCCACGATCCGATTAACTATTCTAACCCCATCACAAAACGCTGGAAAGATAAGCTTCTACTTACTACAAGAATTTTGGTCTTCTTACAGCTTAATTTCATGCCGTATCTGTCACAAGCTTTCACTACACGGTGTATTATCTATATATATTATCTTAAATTGTTTAAGATTTCACCATTGATTTTGATACCTTCTCTTAAACCATCAATATACCTGGACAGCATTTCCGAGTAAGTATTGAACAACGTCGGAAACAAAATGCAGCCCTGACGTATTCCCTGTTTTATCGTGAATTCTTGTTAGGTTTTGTTGTCTACTCGTACAGTTTCACTTTGCTGTAAGTATCAATTTTTAATTAGGTGTAAATCTTTGTCATCAATACTAGATTCTTTCAATATTTTAAATAATTTTGGATGGTACATCTTGTCAAATGTCTTTTCAACGTCTATAAATCATGCGTAGAGTTCGCCATTTACGCCCCGAGCTCTTTGTATCAATACTTGTATGGAAAATAGGGCCTGTTGCGTTCCCAGTCTGCTTCTAAACCCAAACTGAATACTGCTAATGTTTTCTTCAAGTTTTTTATATATGCGAGAGTGGATAAAAGAAAGAAGGATTTTGAGTGCATGGCTCATTAAGGTTATAATTCTGTAATCAGAGCATCTGGTGGCATTTGTTTTTTATTTAGAAAAGGGATGAAGATAGAAACTAGCCAAACTGTAGGAAATTCTGCAGTTTCATAGATTTTGTTCAGTAGACTCGTTAGGAGTTTCAGCTGGTTGTTTTCAAATAGTTTTTATATTTCAGCTTGTATGTTATTAGGTCCAGGTGCTTTATTGGTTTTTAGTCTTTTTATTGCATATGTTACTCTACTAAGCTGATCCTGAACATCCAGAAATACTGACTTCTGTCTCTTGCTCTTTCTTGACCCATGCTTCCATGTATTGCCTCCATCTCCCAAGTATTCTCTCTTAGTTTCGTAGACCAGATTGTTGTGCTCGTCTAGTATTAATCCTTCGTGATCCGTTTTCTTTATATGTAGGTTAAGCTAAGGTTTGTTAGAACAGTGCGCGGCGCACGGCATATACGTATAGCAGAATCTGTTGTACTCGACTCACGGCAGTTTTGGTTGAGCCGGGTTGTTAGATTAGTTTGCATATATAATATATTCTGTCGCGCTCATAACAAGTTAAGAAATTAGTTTCACATTTTTTCTCTTAAAGGTTGTACGTTTAGAAAAAAGAATTGTAGCAAACTTAACGCAATAGTTTTATTACTCCAAGAAGTGGAGGAAGAGAATAGATGATAATATCAAATCTGAATAAAAGAAATAAAAATATCAACAAAACTTTTCCGTGTCGTAATACAGGTGTTTTTAAATCAACAGTCGAAAGAAGATTGTTTCAAAATGCGGAAAAATTTCGAGAATATTTAGACTTTCCAGGGATTTATTTGGAACTGATATATTGGAGGATGCTCCAACTAGAAAAACTAGTCCTTCATCTTCCTCGGGAAAAAATTTAGAAATCACTTAATTACTACAATCACTTATTACTACAATTTAGAAGAAATCACTTAATTATTTCGGTATAGATGTGTACGCTGTGAGCTCAGCTGAACGTTTGTGTCCAAATCAAATCGCAATTGATTCCAGCGCACACCGTCCACGTACACTGCTATTGCTCTGCCGTGCGCGCAACTAAGCAGAACCTAAGAAACCGTTATGATATAGAGCCATTCCTTTGATTTTGACGAACGTACGCGACGTTCGACTTGCTGTGAATTATGCGTCGCACACTGTCCTAACAAACCATAGCTCTAAAATTGTTATGCTTTTGTTCTAGGGATTAAATTTCTATGCATTGATCTTGTAGCCATGATTTTATTGCTTCTTTAATCTTTTTCTTAGTGATTTTGTTTATTTCTTTGTACCTTTCCCTATTCTCATTTCTGTGTTTTCTTCGTTCTTCCATTAGCTCTAATATTTCTTGTCTCATCCGCGGCTGTTTCTTTATATTGTTTTCTCGTTTAAGCTTTTCTGGTTTTTATTCAGAAATAAGCATACTTAGTTATAAAACTACGTAAACTGCTACGTAACGCTTAAGGAATATCCTGTTTTAAATTATTCTGTAAGGTAAGGTGCACGGCAAGAGAGGCCCAGGAAGGCGTATAATATCATGGCTGCGAAACCTCCGAAATCGGTACAACTTAACGACTTACAGAAGATTTTAGAGCAACAGTAAAAAAAGTTAGAATAGCCACGCTAGTAGCTAACATCCGTAACAGATAGGCACAGCAAGAATATAATAGTGCCATTGATTCCTGAAAGAAAAATTACTGAAACAGGTGTAAATAAATAAAACATAATGCAATGTTCTTTTATTGTTATAAAGTAATGAAAAATGAATATGATTATGAAGAATTAATAATAAATGTAACTTTTACAGCTTTAAAAACGTAAATATGCATTAATTTTGAACAATGTTACTGGCGATAAACGTTTTTCCCTCAAAATCGTAACGACGAAACTGTAGGATACGCCCTTGCGGTAGCAGTAGCGTCGACGGACTATGCGAGAGTCATAATTATCTTTTTTCGTTTTTATTTTCATCGAAAGTGAAATCTGCTGGTTTGCTAAATTGATGTTTACGGAATATTGCATTATTTATTTCGAAAAAAGTTCATTTTACAACAATGGGAGCTGAGGTATGAGGAAGATATTTTACATACATTGTAACCCGAAATTTAATATTTAAAAAACAGGTTCAAATATTATATAAGAGTATTAACACTTCGATTGGTGTTGTATATGAAAATTTACAGTTGATAAAAAGGTTCTCTCTCATAAAATATAAGACGATAAGTAATACTATTCATTTCCCCCTGATGTTTCGTAGTATTTCTATTTCTTCTTTACGTTATATTAATACCTGATCTAGCTTTCTCTTATTTTTATTTTCCAAAATGTTGTTTAAAACGTTATGTTTTCGATAAAATCTTAATAACCGTCTTTTACTGTTATCTTGATAAGTTTTGCTGTATTCCTAATGTCAATTTAGAGAATTTTTCACGTTATTTCATGACCGAGGCATAACCCGACAAGCGAGAGCTGGCGGGTTGCGCGTAGAACAAATTAAAAAGTGGAAGGAATTGCTCATTTCTATTCCAGTCCTAGGAGTTCACATCGTGTATAACCGTTTAAGTACCTATACTATATACCTATAATCGCGATTAAGTACCTCTCCTATCTCTCTTAGAATAATTCCTTTTCTATTTTCGCGCAGCACACCCGCCAGCTCTCGCTTGTCGGATTATACCTAGGTATAAAATCTAAGTAAAATTCTTTTAGGTTTGTTAAGCTTTCGAGTTTATTGTACTCTTTTTCAAAACGTACTAAAAATTAACATAAAAAATTACATTAGAAAAATGAAGTTATTATATCTTCAATAGTCTTACCCTTGTGAGGATTGTGTTTTAAAATTAGCAAAATTAATTAACATAATGACATTAAATTTGATTTACTTTTTCGTTCTGTCAAAACTTGTTCATGTCTCTTCTATTTTTTTTATATTTATTTTAGGTTATTTTGACAGAGGAAGTGTCTATGTTTATGCAAACCTTCATTGCAAATTTTGATATATTACAGTTATTAAACAAGCAACAGAGTTTATGTTATTAAGTAATTAAGAAAGAAAAAACACAAATAAAAATAAATTTTATCTCATTTGAACTTGGAATAATCGCTTTAATATGCGTAACTTTTAATAACTTTTATATTGTTATTCTTTTATTTAAAAGAAGATTAATGTATAATATAACACTAAGATTTTCAATGTCTTCTCTTTTGTTTAAGGTGTTTTGTGTAGTTTTAATTAAACACATTTCTAGAAACAGTCTTTTGTTGTAATTTTTTTCCCTTCTCAATATTTCTGTTTGATCATAGTTAGGCGTATGGCCCATTGTAATACAATGGTCACTTAATGCACAGGCTTGTACTTTATTCAGATTAATATTACTCTTGTGAGATGTTAATCTTTCGGACAAATTTCTGGACTAATGATATGATCATTATATATGCCTAACTATGATCAAACAGAAATATTGAGAAGGGAAAGAAATTACAACAAAAGACTGTTTCTAGAAATGTGTTTAATTAAAACTACACAAAACACCTTAAACAAAAGAGAAGACATTAATAATCTTAGTGCTAGATACTTAGTGCTAGTAATCTTCTTTTAAATAAAAGAATAACAATATAAAAGTTCTTAAAAGTTACGCATATTAAAGCGATTATTCCAAGTTCAAATGAGATAAAATTTATTTTTATTTGTGTTTTTTCTTTCTTAATTACTTAGTAACATAAACTCTGTTGCTTGTTTAATAACTGTAATATTATATCAAAATTTGCAATGAAGGTTTGCATAAACATAGACACTTCCTCTGTCAAAATAACCTAAAATAAATATAAAAAAAAATAGAAGAGACATGGAAACCATAGTAATAAGTTTTGACAGAACGAAAAAGTAAATCAAATTTAATGTCATTATGTTAATTAATTTTGCTAATTTTAAAACACAATCCTCACAAGGGTAAGCCTATTGAAGATATAATAACTTCATTTTTCTAATGTAATTTTTTATGTTAATTTTTAGTACGTTTTGAAAAAGAGTATAATAAACTCGAAAGCTTAACAAAGCTAAAAGAGTTTTACTTAAAGGCCAATATTGACTACTAAACCCAAGATATCCGTATATATTACTCACACAGTCACTAAAGCCCTTTCTAATAATATATATATAAATATATATATATATATATATATATATATATATATATATATATATATATATATATATATATATATATATGTAAAATATTAAATCTATCGCTATCGCTTTATTATAGTAAATGGCCAAATATAAAATATATGGCCTAGGAGGACAAATTCGCTAAACTGTCCGTGCTCGAATCGGTATCAAAAAAGTGTTATGATCATTTCGGCCTATCCCAGCCTCATCAGACACTTGGGCTGATACAAATTCAAACTCGAAAAGTCCAACGAATGTCTCCCAAAACTTCACTACAGCGTAGTTAGCTTACAAAGGCCCCCCTGCTTTGGCGGCCGTGAACGAGCTTTTTGCCTAACTTGTCCTCCTAGGCCATATATTTGGCCATTTAATATAATAAAGCGATAGCGGCTTTCGCTAAAAGGTTTAATCTTTTACACATTTTGCATAGCACAAAGGATACATAAAACGATATTATATCGTTTCGTTCACGGCCGCCAAAGCAGGGGGCACCTTTGTAAGCTAACTACACTGTAGTGAAGTTTTGGGAGACATTCGTTGGACTATCCGAGTTTGAATTTGTATCAGCCAAGTGTCTGATGAGGCTGGGATGGGCCGAAATGATCATAACACTTTATTGATACCGATTCGAGCACGAAAAGTTTAGCGAATTTGTCCTCCTAGGCCATATATTTGGCCATTTAATATATATATATATATATATATATATATATATATATATATATATATATATATATATATATATATATATATATATATTGTTTGAGTTTAGTTCTTGAACCTTAATATATATTTTTTAGTGGATTCTCTTGGGCTTAGGTTCATAAAAAAAATTAATTTGATACTAAGACATTTTTATATATTTTTTTTCGACGTTTCGGCAGGAAATCCATGCCTTTTCAATAAGTAATATTGACTAAAAAAAATTTTATGACAGAAATAATACGGTTTAAAAGTTAAACTGTTGACTTGCCAAGCATGTAAAAATTCGGTATTAACAAGTAGACGTCACAATTAAAATAATATTAAAACATAGGACATACCCACTAAGTCACTACATGTAAAATATATTTTAAATCTAATGTGTTGTTTATTGATGTTAGTTTATCGTTTAAACAATCAGTTATGTTAACATCATAGGATGATCTTATCCTATGATAGATGATAGGATATTTCCTCGAGTGGAAATTGAAGCGTTAGTAAACTAATTTTAACCTTTACTTGTGGCTTATTCCCATTTAAATAGTAATTATTCTGAATGATAAATAGTCGTACCAGTTTTCATTTTTTCTAACTAGAAGCTTTCTGGAGGTATTAAAGTAAACTAATTACAAGACGACATCTTCAAAGATGTCTTTAGACTTAGAAAGCATTTTCGGACTAGGAAAATTAGGTTTAATTATCTTAAAATTATCTGAGGAATCTCCGGTCTTCATTTGTCAGGTTAGTTTCTGGACACCCTGTATAAAGAAAATGTACAAAACATCTAGTATCTGGGTTATTGAACCGTAAATTTAGGGGGTTTAGAACGTTTAAGTGCCTCCTTTTTCCAATTAATGCATGGTACTTTCCAAAAGAAACACCTTGTATATCCATTATTAAGTTTTAAAAGAAATTAATTTTGTTTTATTTTGCAAAGATGTATTTACAAAAATATTAAGTTTTCTAAATGTTTCCTTTTGTTGAATTTCCTTGGTACATTTTAATTTGTTTTCACAGCGCTGAACAATGTTTTTTCTTCGCTGATACACATATCGATCAATCATAAACTGACTGCAGTATTTTGTTTTTGACAACAAGCGATAGCCATTATTAGTAACCGAGTAATAAAGGTACTAGTTCTGTCTGCCATATATCGCTACCACTCGTATATGTAAATGGCTTGCATCTCGACTTTGGGCAGGGCAGGTGAAAGGACTTGTGTAAGGATTCAGATGAAATTCTGATACATTTCTAAAAGAGTTCAGTTCTCGAGAATACTACACCGCATACGCATCTTGGTACCACTAAGACAGTACCTCTTGACTTACAGATAAATACAAACAACTCGTGTTTGGTCTAGTAGTTCGTTCAGTTAGTGACAGTTCTTAGTTCAAGGTGGACCTAGAAGAATTATGCTCAGCGGCATGCAGGTTAGTGATGGAGGTGGCGTTATTTTAGGAACTGTTCTTTCAGTACACGTGAAATATTATTTATAAGTAAATATTCTAAGGGTATCTATAAATTGATCCTAACTAATTTTAATACGCAAAAATTGGATATTATGTGAGTTTATTATTTAGAATCTTTAATATGTCAAAATTTAAGTTGTTTTTAAATGTTTTTGAGAAAACTGCACATTGAAGCAATCGCGATATCTTCAGGTTTTAACTAAAAAGTCGAAACTGAAATAAAAATAGTTGAGTCAAAATGTGAAGTGAAACTCTTAGAATTTGTTATACCAAACACAAAAATTTTTGAATGGTGTTAAAAATTTTACACTTAAACAAATTTCTTTTCCTCATCACTAGAGCTCAGGGCACTTGAAAAACCCTAAGAAATATGCATGCAAATATGCAAAAAAACATTTGAAATATGCACTAAAATATGCTTTTATGTTTTTATGCCTTTAATGCCTATAAATAAAGAACGCAGTAATAATTATATGAAAATAATACTTGTATGAAAAGTATTTAACTTATTTTATGCTAAAATTTGTATTATCTACATCATTATATTTATTTATTCTTTGATTTATCATCATTCATTATTATCATCATTCTTTATCATACTATTATTAAAGTTAAAACTATATATTATTAAATATTTCTCTAAATTTTCTAGAGAAAAACTGTGCCTTCTATCTGATAATAATTGTTTATATGCCGAAAAACTTCTCTCTTCTTCACATGAAGTTAA